TTAAGACAACGGTAAATATCATCTTAACAGCTATCTGTAAGTTTTATTATTTCTTCTGTTCATCTTTTTACTTCATTTATGTAGTTGTCAAAAAATCAAAGAGAAAAGTAAAGAATTGTACTATTGCAAATTAGTATGATCAAAACAGATTTTCATTAATCATAGAAAAGGATTACAAAAAAAGGACTGGAGAGTACTAAAGATTATAATCAATCTAACTCCTCTAATGCCTTATGACCCATCCAATTTCCCCAGTCAATGTTAGGTTCATCCTCATCCTCTGTATCTGAGATAACCAGCTGATAAAATATCTTGTCTCTGATCTTCTTCTTCATTGATTTCTTCTTTGGTTTCAAATCAGTAGCCGATGAACCTGCTTCAAAAGGTTTCATTGCAGCTGAGGATGAACCCTCTTTAAAAGATTTAAGTACAAAAGACTAAGAACCATCTTCAGATGTTTCAGAACTTGCTTCCTCCTAAGGACTTTGCACCTCCAGACTCGTAGCACCTTCTGATATCTCTGTTATGGTAGAGATGTTAATACTTTTAGTTGAGGACTCCATGTTGTGTTGAAGGATGTTAATAAAAATGACCAATGCTTCTGTTGTTTTTATAGTGGAGTCTGGGTAATCCAAATGATGGAATAAAGTCCTTTTTCTTAATTCTTGAAACTATTACGACCAATAACTATTAAAGATGCACTATACAAGCTTTTAATGCTCTCAACTACTTGAATCGTTTTCTCTTATTTGGGAAACGATCGTGTAATGATAATCTGCTTTGTATTTATGAGTGTATGTCTTTTGTTTCTCCTTTTTTTTTATGTGATAAAAGGGGAAAAAAGATATAGAAGTATTTAATAGAGAATCTGAACTCATTATGTTTTAATGTTGTTTAATTTAATGTTGTTTATTTTAATTATTTAAATTTCTGTTATTTCTGTTATTTTGTTATTACTCGGAAAAAATATTTTAGTTTTCTTGATATTAGAACTTAGGTGGAGCTTACAAACCTCAACCTTTGGACTATTAGAATCAAGGGGAGCTTACAAACCTCAGACCCTAATGTTTCCAAGTAAATTAAATTATATTTTAGTTTTCTTGTATATATAACTAAAGGGGAGCTTATAAAACTCGACCTTTAACTATTAGACTCAGGTGGAACTTACAAACCTCAAACTCTAACGTTGCCAAGAAAATTAAAATAGTCTAACATCGTTCTTTAAATACTTATGTTTGTCATCATAAAAAAATGGTGAGATTGTTAGAACAAGATTTGATCATGACATATATCCTTTGCGTTTTGATGATAACAAAATATTGAAAGGAAAATGGTGTTATCTAATGTGTGCTCTAAGTGTGCAGGTTTTAGAGCTTAAAAAAGAATATATCCAAAATCTTATATAAGGACGCACTTGAGAGAAACTAATTTATTGGCTTCTGGTGGCTCAGAATCTGAAGAACGTTCTTTAAGTGAAGGCTGATAATATAGATTTGCGTAGACTCTGAAGCTGAAGGCCTCAGCATCAGAAGGGAAATATATTGTCTCTAAGATTATTGAATGTATTAACAATTTGTGATCATTTAAAGCCAACAATAAAGCTAAATTTATTCGTATTGCAGAAAGTAAGCTACATTGTTAAATCTGTTGTCAGCTAGAGTCTGTGTACACAAGGATCAAGAAGAGTTGACATGCTTTACGAATATCTACTATCAACGGATCTATAGTACAAGATCACAAGAAATAGACAATGGTTTAAAAAGTTACACAACGAATCAAGATTTTGGTGTATCTATCCTCAACGTCTCTTGTACTATGGAGTAACAAATACACTTGTACAAGTTATCTCTTCCAATGACTATTCTTATGAAACTGCTATATAAGTAGCTGAAGATTCAACATGGATTTTCAACAATTAACAAGGAGAAAAAAAAAGAAGAAGATCCAAGCGTTCATCGCTTCTATCAAAATGAAAGAATAACAAGATCAACAATAGCAACACAATCGAGTATGCATAATTTCTATTATATGTTATAAATTGTACAAAGCCTTAATATTTCTTAAACATTGAATATCTTAGAAATCTTAATTGTTGTAATCTTTGTTATGGTTATTACCCTGTAATTCTGATTATATATCCAGTACACCTTATTCTCTATTCTGCTAAACAAGTTGTTTAGTAGTTTAAATAAAGTCTCTTGCTATGTGCTTGAGCATCAAATTATCTTGCTGTGAAGATTGAGCCAAGTAAGTCTCTTGCTATGTGCTAGAGAATTAAAGTCTTAATCAGTTGTTGATTGAGTAAGAAAGTCTTGGACTGCAGGTCTGAGCATAAGTATTGGATTTATGGAATCTGAGCAGGAAAGTCTTGTACCTGAAAGGTATGAGCAGAAGTCTTGAATTTGTGAGATTTAAACAGAAGTCTGTGTTTCGTGGAATCTAAGCAGGGAAGTCTTGGACTGAGGGTCTAAGCAGAAGTCTTGAGTTTGAGGGGATTGAGCAAGTAAGTCTTGAACCCGATGGGTTTAAGCAGGAAGTCTTGGGCTGAGGGTCTAAGTAGGAAGTCTCCGGCTGAGGGTCTAAGTAGTAAAGTCTTGTGTTGAGGGCATTAACAATTGTAATCATGATTTGATTATAATGGAAAATATCTTTTGTTTCAAGGGGACTGAACTACTCTCAGTTTGGGAGGAACCAGTATAAATCTTTATGTGTTACGTTGTTACTTATTTGCTTCTGTTATTATTCCATTGTAATTAATTATCAAAATCTGAACTCTGCTCTAAAGTAAAGTAAAGAAAATAAATAACATAATTCAACCCTCTTCTTGTGTATTTTTCTCACCTTCAGAGACAACATCGATTGATTTGCAATGAGTTGATCTATGATAGATAGTCTTAAGATGAGGAGCATCATAAATTGATGTCAACAATAACAATTGAACAGAGGGAAATATATGATAGGATCATGACAATGGTCGAAGAAAATAGGTCAAGTCTATTTTTCTTAATGGTTATGGAGGGACTGACAAGACTTACATTAGGAAAGCAATGTTTGCAGCATTAAGGTCGAAAGGTGAGATTATCCTAACAGTAGCATCAAGTGGGATAACATTGCTAATTTCTTGTGGAGGAACCACACACTCGAGGTTCAAAATTGCATTAAAAATTGATGAATATTCGACGTGTGAAATAACTCCAAAAAACCCTTTAGCTGATTTAATACGTTGTGCAAAGCTAATGATATGGGATTAAGCACCTATGATGAACAAACATTATTTTGAAGCTGTTGATCGTACTTTAAAAGATATATTGAGAGCAAAAAATATTCTATTTGGTGGAAAAGTAGTTGTGTTGGGTGGAGATTTTCTTTAGATTTATCCTACTATACCTAAAGGAACAAGACAAGAAATTGTTCATTCTACTATAAATTCTTCTCCTCTTTTAAAATTTTGTGAAGTGCTTGCATTGACCACTAATATGAGACTTCTAACTGGAATTACAAATTCAGACGTTGAAGAGAGGAAGAGTTTTTTAGAGTGGATTTTGGGAATTAGTGATTGAATTATCAGAGACACTAATGACGAAGATATCACAATCCATGTACCATAAGATTTGTTGATTACTAGCTTTGGTGATCCACTTTTAGCTGATGTTCAACGCATGTATCCAGATCTAATGCATAACATGAGTGATTCAACATTTTTTTAGAATAGAGCTATATTGGCTGCTAAGAATGCAATTGTGCATGCCATAAATGACTACATGTTCGATCTAATACACGGAGAAGAAAAACTTATTTGAGTTATGACCCTCTATGCAATGCCAGATCAGATGTTGACATGTTAGATGATGTGCACACTCCTGAATTTATAAACACAATTGTTTCTTTTGGACTTCCAAAATCACCAATTAAGATTAAAAGTTGGAGTCTCGGTCATGCTATTGAGAAATATAGAACCGTCTCTAGGAAAAATTATATCTAGTAGTAATATTGGTGATAAATTTTTTATTCCAAAGTTATCACTGACTCCTTCAGATAAAAGACTTCATTTCAAATTTCAGCGTCGACAATTTCTATTAATTGTTTCATTCGCTATGACTATCAACAAGAGTCAATGCCAATTACTCAAACATGTTGGAGTGTATCTGACCCAATCTATTTTCTCTCATGGACAATTATATGTTGTACTATCTAGAGTTACTTTAAAGATATGTTTAAAGATACTAATAACTAACTATGAATGTGAAGATTCAAATATAACGAAAATGTGGTTTACAAAGAAGTGTGTTCCAAAATATTCAGAGTTAATTATTAGATTATGTATATAAAATTATGTAATTTCTTTTATGATATTTAAAACTTTTCTATTTTCTTTTATGTTATTTCATTCACCACAACTATTTATTTCATTAATGAAAACTTATATTATTATACTAATGTAAATATTATATATGACATTTTTAAAATACCAGTGTATCTCACGGTTCTGCGTCTAGAATTTTTAAATATAACAAAAACTAAACTTCCTTTTAGAAGTGTGATTAATTTCGTGCTCTTGACTTGTTAGCACATAAATTGCATCATGAAAGTGCCAAGTTTTTCACTGGCCATAAAATAAACGTGAATTATATGTCGTTTGAAAGCACACTTCAAAAACTATTTGTGATTACTTAGAAATGTGAAGTGGAAAAGTTGCTCCTAAAATTGAGCACAACATTGATCTTAATATAAAGCTCAAATTTCCAATTCGACCATACCTCATCATTTTCGACACCATTTCATAGTGATATATTTAGTAGAAAACATACTTCATACCTCAGATTAATGGTTCTGTTTCAAGTATAATAATATATGCATAGCTCAAATTACAAAATGTTTTAGTCACATACATGTTTGGTTTTCCATTCCTTTAAACATGTATATTTAACACAAACACTCTCTTCAATCAAGTATTGTCAAGCTTCTTGCACTTGTAGCCAGCAAGCTAGTATTCGTCGTCATCAAGAAGCATAAACAGAAGTTTCTAATCGAATCCACCTCCAAACAACAGCAGCACCAGCAGCAAGATGCATAATCAGAAATATATCAGTGAATACACCTCCAATTGCTTGGGATACAAGTAGACCAAACAAATAACATAGAGAGAATCCAAGCACATGATCATAGTCTGGCATAAAACAGTCAGACCTGGTGCAAAGAAAGAAAATAGCTAAGCAAATCTTTAATTTTGATTGGTATGATCAATAGTGTTGACTAAAAGAAAGATGTATAGTTACCCGGAAATGTCATCGTTGATTCTTGGCCAGGCTGATTTGAAAGCCTGGCCACCAATTCTGCCACCAGTTTTGGCGGCTGATGCATCATGAACTGATCTATATGTTAACACACTAGCAGCCATTGCAATCAATGCTAGTTTTCCTAACTTGTTCTCATTCTTGTTCCAATTACTATACACAACAGTTATGTAGTTAATACAACCAAATAAACAAAGCAAAAAGTAAAAGAAAATAGTTGTATTCTATCCTACCTTAATGGAGTTGGAGATTGTTGTTGTTGTGGCTGTGAGCAGCTGCAGTGGACGACCACGGTTTTCCTGCTGTTCCTGAAATTTGGGTTAAGAAGGGTTGGTGTGGGGATGAAGAAGCTTTGCTGTGAGAAAGACCACATTTTTGTAATGCTACCTAGTTATCACCAAAACCTTAATTTATGTCTTAGATGCAAACAAATGAAATTTGATGATTTTTCAATTGTTTGTGTTTCCTGTGTTTTGTTGGATTGTTTATCTCTTTCTCTCACTCTCATCATCATCTTAAACCTCACCCTTTTCATGGTTCTCCACTTTCCAAGTGGCCCAATAGTCCTTTAAATGTTAGATATATATATATTTATAATATAAAAAATTAGTGGTTTGGTTTTTATAAAATTAATCTTTGTTACTTTTATGCAACATCATTCTTAACATCATTCTTTTTGAGGTAAGTTATGTCTTTTTGAACTATTTCCCAACCAATATGTGCTTCTCATTTAATTTTAATCGGTATTTTAAAATAAATAACTAAATAATTCTTTTTTTTTTACTTCTTTTTTTTTAATCACCAATTACCATTTTAAAATGTAATATTAAAAGACTCGAGCGTTTGCATAGATTCATTAATTTTAATTGATATATAATTTATTAAAATGTATTTATAAATATAAATTGGTAAATTTAATTGTATAATGTAAATTAATTATATCAAATGAATAATATATTAAATGGAATGATTAATTCTTTATGGTAATTTATTTAAAATTAATTAGATGCAGGTAAATTAAATGTATTGTGACAATTTACAACTTTTAGATAAGTTACATAGAGTGGTCATTAAAATTTATCAAATAATGGTTGAGTAAGTACACAAACTAAGTATGTGACCATGAAGTTGATTTAGTTGAAAATAAATTAAATATAATAGTGATTCCTAGATCTAATATTTGAAAGTTGGTAAGATGAGAAAGTATAACTGATTGAAAGAAAGCTATTGTTGTACTTATATCTTTACATAAGTAGGTCAGCGTATAAAGTAACAAATGAGAACTCAAAAATTGTGTGGTATCTCAGTTTCACTATAGAGGATTTGACATGTTACTGCTGACTCAACTTTACAGTGAACTGTATTTTAAAAGTATTTTATTTAATTGTACTGTTAATCCATATAAAATGCATGAAGCATGTTTAAAAAATAGCAAGACGGGGTGAACCGAATGAAAAGTCCTTTGACAACAATTGCATTTAATGCCGAGGATTTCACAAGTGGACAACCTGTCAATAAAATTCAAACTATAGAATAATAGATATTTCAGAAGTGGGCAACATATCAACAAAGTTCAGGCTATAAGATAATAGAGAACAAACAAAAAATCTAGTTCTAAGTTAATTGAAAAGTAATTATGATGTCGTTTCTAGGTGTGTATACTTCAAGTTAAACATGAAATTAACCAACCATTTGTACTTATTAAATAAAACAGGTTGCTGTAAGAGTTATAAAATGTTGTTAATAAAATTGTATTTTGATACAAATATTTTAAAACATTAATAATACAATTTGAATAAAACTAGAAGTTTTGAATATATTAAAACATGAAGGTAGATATAATTAGAAAAATTGGCATGAAAGTTCATATTATATATTGGAAAATATTGATGTCCAAATGTTTAAGAGAGAATTGAGTTTGATTATAAAAAAATATTGTTGGTAACTACTTAATGTAGTTTAAATTCTACAACCAAAATGTTGTTTATTTAAAGTATCTACAATTTCTGTAACTAAGTATATATATATATATATATATATATATATATATATATATATATATATATATATATATATATATATATATATATATATATATATATATATATATATATATATATATATATATATATATATATATATATATATATATATATATATATATATATATATATATATATATATATATATATATATATATATATATATATATATATATATATGATAGTATCACATGAATATGGAAATACGAAATAATTTATAAGAACTTGATTATATAAATTGAATCGTATTAAAATAATCATAGAAATGAAAATTTCATTACATATGAAATATTTGAATACATGATAAGATTTCCAATTCAATACATGTGTACCTGATAGATACGAGAAACAGGTGATATCTCTTTGATCACATCTTTCTATGTCTCTAAAAATATATAGTACATAATATTCAATTTTATTATAAGCTTAAGTATGGAATAAAAATACCAAATACGTCAAATTTTGAGTTGTTTGATATTATTAACAGGCCTTATATGATAATCTCTCATTTGTTGGCTACAATCATAAAACAATTACGTTACATTAGCTAAATATTATCAAAAATATATGTATAAGCAACCTCTACCCTATATACATGAAGAGGATGTATGACAAAAAATTGCAAAAGAAATATCCTAAGAGTTGTTGAACCAAGCCTTGTGTGAAGCCCACCTTTCTTTGCAAGAAGCTACAAGTATATACACGCTTGATGAGTTATAATGTCCATGTTAAGTGTCATTTGTCACAATGGTTCGTGTACTCTAAATGTCGAAAAAAAATATTATAAAATAAACTTAAAACAAAATTTCCACCATAATTTTTCTCAATTTACACATTACAAAGAAATAGCATATGAAAGAATAGGGTTGAAAAACCAAGTATACAACTAAAGAATAACTATCATACATTACAAAGCACTACATATACTTCATTATCATTTTTTTTTTTACATTAACACAGTGCAAGAACTGTGTTTATTTTATACTAAATATACGTCAGCATTAAGTCTTTTTAATTAACAAAGTGTAGAAAATGTCTTGCTTATTTTCAATATCACATACACTCAAAATCATAAGTACATATAGAACAAATGCAGAAGATGATGTTATCAAAAGGATTATTGTCACAAAAGCTTCAAAAATGCATCATATACACTATCCAGATTGCAAAAACATGTTTTAATACACAACCTACTTCATCTAAGTTTAGAAAAAAATATTGAAACTTCAAACACAAATTGAAATAATTTCTATCCTCAAAATAGATTCAAATACACGTCACAGGACTTCAAAAGATATTTATACTTTGAATCTATTCCATAAAAATTTCATACATAGCTTCTTTCTTAAATAAATTTTATCATTAAGATATTTAATAAAAAAATACAATTATCATTCATGCAAAATGAAGTATTAGCACAAACAAAACATGAATTATCAGCACAAGCAAAACATAATGATACTTACTTGTACCAAGTCAACGGTTGATTTCGAAAAACTAAATATCCTTAAAGCCAATCAATAGACGAATTTAAGGCTCGTCCTTTAAGATCAACTTAAATGAAACATGAATTCAAATGAATCTCAATCAACCATGAATGGATAAAGGTTAAAGAAAGATATAAAGGACAAACATAAGATTAGCAAAGTGAATGAAATAGAAAAATATGAGACATAGAAATATAGAGGTCATCTTCCCCATTCCCACTTTGTCATCCCCGTTCACACTCTAGCATTCCTTCAACTATATTTTTCTATGTCCTTGTCAAATCATTACAAACCTAAACTCAAACAAAAAAAAACAAAAATACAAAACTTTCAAGATAGAACAAAAAAAAAACAGAGGAGAGATTTTATTCTAAATTAAGACATTAATGTTGAACATGATTAAAACCTTAATGATGAACATGATTGAAACCTTAATGATGACCACACTGCCTCATACTAATCTTTAGTTCTAACTTTACAAAAATAACCATTTGTTTTCTCCATTAGCACAATGATAAATAACTGTAGATAGAAATGTTCCAGCCAGTGTGTTTGTTAAAATCAGAAAGTCAGAATAAACTCTAATACATCGGGAGCAAGATATTCCTGTTCAGTTGATTATATGAATCAAATACATCAAATTGTTTAAGAACTAATTCACCATTAATTGGAAAAACAATGTAACACGGGTTACCTCATACAAGTAACTCTTACTTTATGGTAATCATTCATGGTATGCTTTTTACTACCATTTGGTTATCATTGAAATTTATCACTCCGACAAATGAGCCTTGTTCAACATTCAACAAACAACGGTATCACTTCAGATTAAAAGCAAATTTTAGATCTGAAGCCTAAACATGAATAACAGATTCAAAGCAAATTTTGAAGCAAATTTCAACAAACAAAAATAGCAGATTAAAATCTAAACATGAATCTCTTCTAGATCTGATGTGAAAAATCATAATTAAATAGAAACGACTGTACCGCTTCAGATTCATTCAAAAAATTTATTCAACAATTAATCACATTTAAAAAAATTAATAGAAATATAATACAAAGAAGAATATTAATGAAAAATTTTCTCCAGGTAAAGCAAATTTCAGCAAACGCGTTGTAAGAAACAGAACCTAAGATAATATGATAAAAAGGTTTTTACCGTAGAAGTTGAAGATCATGGAGACAACGACGACATTTGGGGAAGCTGTAATCAGAATCTGGCATGGTGAGGTAAACACCGAGAAGACCGACGATAAAGCTCAACGCCACTTCAACGATGAAGGCTTAGAAGGCTTAGGAGAAATAGCTAACACAACATGAAATATGAAATAGAGAGGAGAAGAGAAAAACAGAGATGAGGAAGAAATGGGGCGGCGTTGTAGGATTTGAGGGGAAAGAGAGAGATGAGAGAGAGAGAGAGAGAGAGAGAGAGAGAGAGAGAGAGAGAGAGAGAGAGAGAGAGAGAGAGAGAGAGAGAGAGAGAGAGAGAGAGAGAGTTTCAAAATGAAACTGTGAGAGAAATGAGAGGGAGAGTGAGAGTGAAGTTGATCTAGTGTTTAGAGGTGTCAACTTAAGATTGATTTTAGAGTGTGAAAACTTAACACTTGGCATGATGCAATAGGATAAGAGGATAAATAAATGGTAACATTTGTTGATTACATAAACACCTTTTTGTTAGTGTAAAATTTGAAAATAGTAAGGATTAATTTGTCAGAGCATGCAATTCCTTTTTTATGGGTGGATAGTAGATGAGTTTTGGGGCAACTTTTACGCTATCTGATTTGGGTAGGAAACAAAAGTAGGTACAAGTCATGTCAGTTTGTAGCAAACATTTTCATTTCTTA